CACAGCGTTATTTTGAACACGTTTGATCAGACCAACAGCGAGATCAATTACGATAATTAACTTGCGTAATCATATTCGTGACATTGTTGTGAGTTGTAGGAATATCTTAAATTACCACAGTGTGAATATATATATACACATTCATTGAATTAGACTATATACATATAATTTTTCAAATTTTATTAAACGTGATATATATATATATCACGTTTAATAAAATTTGAAAAATTATATGTATATAGTCTAATTCAATATTCTCAATGTTTATCTGTTCTATTACTAATTAGAAAAATTATTGTGTGATTTAGAACTGTTAGATCATATAACCACGTCATGGAAGATGCTGCATTTCTAGTAGATGATAAGAATATGTAGTGAAATAGACTATTCTGAGTTCTAAGCATAATAGAGGATCATAATAAATGTAAATATATTTAGATTTACTCTATTTTTTCTTTTAATTCTTTGTGAGAATGCGGGAATAGTTAATAGATATAGAATATTACAAATCACAATATCAATATAGTGAATATGATAAAAATTAATAATTGGTAGCTGCCTCTGCAGTGCATAGAAACTGAAAAGGAAATGCAACTAAGACACGTGTTCGAATATTAAATTATAATGTATATAAAATATAATAAACAGATATTAAATTATTTAATTATATATAATTATAAATGTTTTAATACAGAATGCAATATCAATATTATAACGTAATATAAAATAATATCAAGATTAACAGCTGTACAGCTTGATAGTACACAGCATATACTATCAAGATTAACGAAAACTACTTGTTATATCTATCTTTAAAAATTGATTGAACAACTGAAATTAATTATGTTAATTAGATGCGCAATTAATAGCTAGTATAGTCATGGCTAATAGAAGCATTATAAAATTTAAATAATAATTATCATATTTTTACTAAATTAAAAAATCTATTCTACTTACCCGAGTTAAGATGACACTATGTAAGTTTTCTCTGCTTGTAAGATTAATTTTGATATTTCGTGCTTGTGATCGTCGGTCTAATATTGTCGAACACTGACTGTTCCTGAAATATATCATAGACAATTAACATATAATTTATTTTTATAAAAGTTAAGCTCTTATGATATAATTATAAAAATTCTTATAATATAATATTCTTATAATATAATCTTATATTATAATATAATATAATATCTTATAATATTCTCTAATGGACAAAATAATGACATTTTACTTATTAAATCTCAGCATCTCTGGTGTATCGATTTTCGATTCTTTTTCCGTTAAATTATTTTTTTTTAATTCTTTTTCCATTAAAGTATTGAAGATCCAAAAAATCAATAATCTTTTGAATATTTCCAAATTCATTGTCATTCAGCTGCAAAAAGAACACTCAAGAATAAAAAAAATATTATCAATTCAGTTTTTTTAATTAAAATAGATATCGGGTATAAACATATTTTAAAAATAGCGGGCTAAACAGGTAGTGTCAATACTCTTTCCGCACGATGCTGTTAGATGGCGCCAGGCAACTAGCTAGACGCTGTGCCTATTTGAACACGAAGCTATGGCGGTACATTTTGCGAGTAGCAATGTAGCTCAAGCAATGTTCCATACCGTTTCTGACATCGTTCAATTATTCAAACTTCTTCAGCGATATCTTGAATCGGAATCCATGCTGCGATATTGATCCTAAGGTGAGCATCGAAGTACCGCGAGATCCGAAAGATAAGCGCGTTGCACGCTTTTGTCTCAAATTTAAAACGAAACGACTGATCCTCTCCGAGCGTACTCTTCATTTTTGGAATTTTTTCATGATTGTCGTTTTGCTTCAGGTTGAGCAGGATACAATGTTGCATCGAAGCACCTGGTTCAGACAGAGCGGACACATCTTAATCGTAAGTTCACACAGATTCATTATATTTCGACACAGCTCACCGAAGGGTCATACGACTTGGAGGTTAAAAACAAGACGCGCTAAAATGCGCGACATATAATGCATTGCAAGATTTAGACACAATGAAATTGGGAGCTCACAAATTTGTTAAAATTGAAAGTTGTTACTGACGGGCTTGCCCAATAATTATATTATTATTAATAATTATATTATATTATTACTAGTGTTATTGTTTATTATTATTTAGTGTCCTGAACTATATTATTAATTATATTATTATTGCGTAAGTCTGTCGGTAATAATTCTCAATGTTGAAAATTTTAACTTAACAATGTTGAATAAATTCTCAAGTATTTTTTCTCTGTATAAAACTAGTATGATGGAGCATTCAGTGAATTGTAAAATAGTTTAGACACAATAAAATTGGAAATAATTCAATATATTTCCAATTTTATTGTGTCTGAACTATTTTACAATCTACTGAACGCTCCATCATACCAGTTTTACACAGAGAAAAAAATACTTGAGAATTTATTCGTGTATGTGTGTGGGACAAAAATTTATTTCGCAGAAATAAACTTTGTTTTACAGAAATTGACTTTATTTTTCTTTCGCAAAAATATACTTCATTATATCTCACAAATAAATTTTTAAATATTATTATCTCATTGTAAATATACATTGAGCAAAATTAATTTCTTATAAAATACACAACTTTGCTGACAATTCTTTTCAGAATTTGCTTTAACATAACTATATGAAAACTATTTTAGGTAAAGCAGAACTCTCAAATTTCATGCAGCGCATGATCTTATTCTGTGTTGTTATACATATTTCCGACAAAATTAATTTTTTTTATAAAGATTGCAACAATGTTGATATATAGAACTTTGTGAAAATGCTTAAATATACGAGAGTTCTTGTGGCAAGACGGAAGTGTCACACTTTTCCAAACATATCTTTTTATTTTAAACAGTCAGATAATATTAATTTTTTTCAATAATACGATGTTACTAATGCGTAGGACTTTTTAGAAAATGCTTAAATATACTTTGTAACATTTCACTGTCATGAAAGTTTACAGAACAGGTTATCTTAAATTCTATAAATAGATATATCAATGTCGATTTCGAGCATCCGACTTATCGGGGAATTTAAATTATATTTTTCCTGTACATTTTATTTTTATCGCCATGTATGCTTCGCCGGAAAAATACATAGAAAGATATCATGATGTTGTATGACTGACGTGCGCGGTTGTACTAGATTATTTGGATAACATTTTTATAAAATACGTTGTATAAGATATTTTACATATTTACATATTAGACATTTTACATATTAGATATTTTACATACCCGATATCCTATCGTATAAATTATTGTCCTATCGTGACATCCTATCGTGATAAAAACATCAAGTAATCTCTAAGTTATTCGGCTGAAGAACAACTTTTTTACGGTATCTCGCGACTCGAAATACGCACTTATTTATTTTCATTTTTTTATTCTAATACTTATCCGTGGAACAACCAACAATGACAACATTTCGATTCGTGTCACGGAATAATCGAGGATTGTTTGTAAAAGAATATTTGCGCTCTCCCTCATTTTATTAGCCGACATTACTGAGTAGTCGCAGCAAAAAGTTTTTTTAGTACTTTTTTTTAACGTTCGTGTTATTTGGGATAAATCGCGAAATACGATTATTTCTGGAAATGTACGAGTAAAACGCACATATCATCTCGTTTCGCGAGGAAATAAACATTGCATTAAATATCAATTACGTTTCACCGGCTGTTATCGCGATTTTTCGTTCGACACGCGCATACGCTATCGAATTTTGTAACGCACAATTTATATTAGTTATAGCGAGCGCGAAAGGAAAGCAAAATAATTCTGACGAATTGAGATCGCATGGATTCGCGGAAGTGATCTTCGATTATTCGTGATAACGAACACGACAGTGATGTTATAATATTCATTTCAAACAAGATACAAGTCGCTTTACACCACAGTCATACAATCGGCTGATTAAAGGCTGCAAGCTACTTTTTCTCTCTGAGTTTCTTAACGCATCTCGTATCCAATCGGAGAGTTTGTTGTCTGGCAATTCTCAGGAGATATACGCGTTCCTATTGGATACAGAACGCGTTGCAAAACTCATCGAGGAAAAGTGCTGTTACGCTTAATCAGCCGACTGTTGGCGATCTTTCTGGACCAATACCTACAGATCAAGTGTAACGACTTTTATTCCGTGGGTTCCGCAACGTATTCCGTGTTCAATAGGGAAACGTATCTCCTGAGAATTACTAAGAAAAACAATTCTCCTTGGATATGAAATGCGTGAACTCACCGAGAAAAAGTGTTACTACTTTTAAGGATTGTCTACCACGCATAGTTATGTTTTAAAGTCGTAGTATTAGTCAGTGAATCGATCATGTGTGTTTTATTTTCGCATGAACTCGAGAAAAGTGAAAAGTTGTATCGAATTCGTCAATGAAACCTTTAATTTTTCCGCGAATTCACGAAGAAGACAAACTCACGATCGACTCGCAAAGTAATGCGAGCTACTTGAAAACATAACTGCGACCGCATTCTAGAAGATCCTTTAATCATGACTGATACACACGGAAGAGTACATGTTGCATTGAAGTAAATATTGCTTGACTCAAGTATTTCACAAGTTTATACATCCGCAAATCTATCACAAACTCTCATCATAAGCATCAAATTTATTCAAAATACTTTCTAAATTCTAATAAGTTTATTGAGTAACAAAAGTTTACTTACTGCACACAGTTAAATGAACTTTTTCTTCGATAAAATCTTATAATTCTTACAAAGAAAATAAGTTCTTCTTTTAAGCACATTATGGTACTTTTCCCGAATTTGTGATAAGCATATCCGTGTCGAAATTTTGGCGCTATATTAAGTGGATTAGAGGATCAGATTGCCTGAAAATCATACTTGTTTTTTTATAATTTTTTATGAAGAACTGAATGAATATGCAAAAGAGTTATTTTAACGTATATTTATATAATATATAAAGAGAAGAAAAATTTAATTTTGATGAAAAAATACTCAATATAAGTGTATGGTACATGCAATTAAAATATATTTTGGTTTTTTTTCAAAGTTGTCATTTTGCAGTAATATTTTCACTCTCAATAGTTCAATTAAGCTGAATTTTAGGTAGAAAATTTCCGTAAGCTTATCATCGGGTGAACCACTGACAAACTCGTAAAAATATTTAATTTTGAAATATTCATTTTATTACTATAAAAGAACTGAAAATTTTAATAATATTCCATTAAGATATTTGCAATTTTGTTAACTTTTACTCAATTTCTATTATAGTGGTTCACCCGATAACGACAAGCTTACGGAAATTTTCTACCTAAAATTCAGCTTAATTGAACCATTTTAATTGAGAGTCAAGATATTGACTCAAAATGACGACCTTGAAAAACGAAATATATTTTAACTGCATGTATCATACACTTATTTTGAATATTTGAACACTAAAATTATATTTTTCTGCTCTTTATATATTGTATAAATAGACGTCAAAATAACACTTTCGCATATTCATTTAGTTTATCATAAAAAATTGTGAAAAAACATGCACGATTTTCAGGCAATTTGACCCTCCAATCCTCTTAAACCTTGAATTCATAGCAGTAGGAGCTAAGTTAGCAAAATAGATTTAATTTTAATAATACAATTTACAACTTTGACTCCTACTTTGACTCTGATGATGTTCTCCGAAATTTTCCTTTTCACTTTCTTTAGCGTTAAAATAGATGCTGAATGAAATAATGAAGCTGAAAGTAGAATTAAAATTTCGACTCGGGATATTTTAAAACTATCATCAAAAAGATATTCCTCGTAGAAAAGAAGGGTCACTTAAAAGAAGGAATGTGAAGTGAGCAATTGATCTTCTTGGCGGGTAGAGAATATTCTCTCTGTATACTTTCGCGATCACTCTAAATACAACGTGCCGCGCGACGTCTCGCGTCTTCAGCGCGAACAGAGGTCGTGCTCGCCCGACACGCGTGACACACGCCGCTTTCGCGTCGAATCTTGCAGTTTCCTCGAATGATTTCGCACAATTGCTCACGAGTGTTAACACGATAAATCGTTATATCGTGAAAAGGCACGAGAGAAGGAAAGAGGCACTACGTCTACATAAAGAAAGAGACATCGTTGATGTAAAAATCAACTTTGTACCGCAGAGATACCATGGTATATCATTATTGACTAAACAGTTCCGTTCGTGACCAACGCAACAAATCGATTTCACGGGAAGTGATTATTATCATAACGACGAAGAATTCTTTCAAGTGTACTCGTGGAGACGATTCTCTCCCTCTCTCTATCTCCGTCCCTCTATCCGTAACGCATTTTATGAGTAATATTCAGGTGAAAGATAGTGTTATAAAGATCGTAATACTCGAAATGACCGCATCGTGAAAATTCAACAATAATTGCGTACCTCGAACGATCTGTGTCGCAGCTGTCGAGAAACGAACGTAAAGACACTCTTATTCTCTTTCAGACCAACGTCTTCATTCCGGGATCATCCGGACTCATTGATGAGGAGCTCCCGATGTCGATGACGACGAAGGAGATGAACCACGATCTTGCGGCGCCTCCCGGCTCCTCGCGTCGCGATAACGTGGCCTCACGCGAGGAAGAGAAGGAGAGACGGACAAGGAGCACGACGAAAGGGCCGAGAGGACGAATAGCGGTGAAGCGAGTGTACACGCTCGCACCGGCGATGGGACGGTGCGCCGAAATGCTTAATTAGCACGAGTGGGGGCCTCGGAAGGCTCCTCGGCGACGCGACCAATCGGCGCGGCCGCGAGCGAATGGTGTCCCCGCCCATCATGAGAGCCCCCGTTGCCCTTTCCGCGTGACTACCGGCCACAGTTCGTACGCGAGCGTTCACGGAGCGTGATATCGTACGCGTCGGAGACGCGCGCGCTCCTCTTCACGATCTCCTCGCCAACCTCTCTCGTGCGACTCTTGGCCGCCGCGCGAACGCCGCCAGCCGTTCGAATCGCCGACGTCCGTCACTCGTTCGCTCTCTCAGTCTCCCTCTCTTTCTTGCGGCCTCGAGAGATCGATCAAATTCGCGTTTGCCGTCCACTTGGCACACACGTCGCCGGAAACATGTAAACCACGCTCGCGCGGCGAAGAGAGAGAGAGAGAGAGAGAGCGCAGCGGGCGGCAGTCGTGGAGAACAACGCACTTTCGGGGCGAGGAACGCGAGAACGCCAGGTGGTGCGCCGCGACGTTGCCGCGGTATCGGCGTGTATCGGTCCCCGCGTGCGCGAGAGATCGTTCGATCTATCGTACTTGGCCCCGTCGCTCGAGCGGCGCTCTTACCTCTGTTCGTTGATTCGCTCGCTCGATATCGTTCCGCGTGCTCCACACGGGGAAATCCGTGCGATGCGAGTCGTCGCCGTCGTCGTCGCGGTGCCAGCCGATCGTCCTCGTCGTCGGCGCATATAAGAATGCGAGGCTAAGGGGGAGAAGGGAGCGTGTACGCGTAACCTGCTCTCCGTCCGTCCGTCGCGCTTCCACGAGGGGAATTCGACTCGGGAGATTCGGCGGGTCGGCCGAAGAAGAGGACTCCACACGGGATCGCTCCGACGCACGTCTGCACGTCATGTCGACGAGCTACCTGCTCCTGTCTCTGCTGATGGTCGCGTGGCAAAGCGGCGCGCAAGCCAACTGGTGGTGAGTCCCTGTATACAGTGTCACACATTTGCGATTTTCGTCGTGCGGAAACGGGAATCCCGGCTTTTTGTTTAAACGCCGTCATTTAGCGCCAAATATGGCCACTCGATCGGAATCTCTCGTGTGAGCGCGCGGCTATGCGCCTTGAGGTTTTCACGGAGACTAGCACCGCGAACGATCACTTCGCTTTTATTATGCGACGACACGAGGTTAACCCTCTAATGGATCGCTCAGCGACTCATCTTATTCCGCTCGATTTTTAATTATTTCAACGAATTTTTTGATGTTTAGTACTGATTTTTTTGTAGATTTCTTAGTGCATGAATAAATGTAAAACAAAGTAGGCCGGTAAATTTTTATTTGCATGATTATTATAAATAAACAAATAGTCAAAATTTGTACTTTTTATGAAAAAATTAATTTTTTACTAAACTTTTATCAATATCGAGACGGTAATTTAAGCGCTTATTTAGGATACTCTAAACTATTTTTTTAAATTTTGTTAGACCTTTTCGTTATATTGTTTCTTTATTATAAATTAATAATATATCTGAAAAATATTGAAAAATCTATATTTTCTACTGTATCCAAATATGTAGTTTGAATATCTCTTATAATGATATCCTGAGGATTTTTTGCGTCACTGAATCCTAATCTAAAATCAGAATTTTTTAATTTTTTAAAATCCAAAATGACGGGACCAGTATGAATTTTAAAATTCTGATATGTAATCAGCGACCCGAAAAACCCCGAGTATAAATTTAAAAAAATCAGCCTGATATAAAAATTCATACTTCATTAAATAATGAAGATAATCGCATGGCCATATCTCGCTAAAAGATCGTGATACACAAGTTATTTTTTTTTAATGTATCATCTCACTTCCTCCATTAATTCGAGATCTTGACTAAAAGTTGTCAAAGATATAATCTTTTTCTCATAAAGTCGAATAATAGTCTAAGAGTGAGCAAGAAACACAAATCTGCGAATAATTTATCAAGTAATTTCTTGAAGATATTATATACGATGTAACGCGTAAATTTTGTTGTTCTATGCCCTTTTACGAATAGCGTGACAGTTGTGACTCATTCATAAACAATCAGCCGAGGATCTATGATCGCGTGTGTATTCAAACACTACGCCATTGATCGTTCTTGTACACAATAACAAGTAACTCTTGGACAGACTCGACGCTCCACAATTCAAACAAGTATTTATTCCAAGTATTTCACACTTCGTTCGCGTATTTACATCTATCTATCGATTCAATGGAAAATCTAACTGTATCTATAGTAAGATCCTACATAGAGAAGAAATATATAAAAAAAATAGTAAATATTTATTTAGTAAGCACTAATGACACGTTTACTTAAATCTAAATTCCTTTATCTAAACAGAACGATTATTTTCATGAAAAGCTAAGATCTTTTTAAATGGTTTCACGAAAATGTATATTTCTTTATTTGAAAAATATATTTTATATTAGTACAAATGAATAAATCATCACAGTACTCACTAAATAAATATTTGTTATTTCTTAGGTATTTTTTCTTACAAGTAAATCTGCCTTTATGTTATGTTTATGGTTACTCGCCAATTTTGTTGAAATTCTATATACTTGTAGAGCAGTCAAAAATAATAGATATGTATATTTATATCAATTTTATAGCAATAGTGCATGTTGGGGGTGAAAACTACTCTTTGTATTTATAAGCACGAATAATTAACTCGTTACATTTAAGCTTACAGTATTAGAGCGGTCTTTTAAAATTTTGAAGATGATAAGGTGTTTTTCTGTTGAAAGCAAATCCAATGTAAAAATTATAGAATTTAAAATAGCGGATCCAATATAGTAATCTAATAATGAAAACAATTTAATCTCACTCTTTGCTGAACTCAGGAACTGATGAGGAGGAAGCAAGAGCATATCTACATTTAATTTTTTGTTTTGTTATTGTTTAATTTTTAATGTTTAATTTTTTTTATATTTCAATTTTTCATATATTTTTATTAATTTCTTTTATTTTTTACAACTACGTTACTTCTCGCGTCTTGCTTATATCTATTTTTTTTTTCATTTTCTATATTTTTTTGCAGAAATAATATTAAAAAAAAATTCTTTTATACATAAAAATTTGCATACTCCAAGTACACTTTATAATAGCTATATTATTGCATAATGCACAGATAGTTTTACCATTTTTTAAACAATAATCTATGGGATTATCAAGCTCAAGTGGTTTCTCTTATGTAAAACTATCTGTGCATTGTGTCATAATGTAGCTATCATAAAATATGCTTGGTGTGCAAATTCTTTATGTATAAAAGAATTTTTTTCCATTCTCCAAACGTAATATTGAATAAAAGATCAGAAACTTAAAAAATTTGAAAAACGAGCATTTCGTCGTTTAGTACGCCGTATTATACCGTTACCCACTTCGAGATCGCGAAGACAGGTTTACTCGACGAATTTATGGATTTGCAATATCGTTAACCGCACCGATCGGGGAACGCGTGGAGGCTCCCGGAAGCTCGTCGTCGTCTCCGCGGTAATTTCCTCCGGGAGCGAGAGCAAACTCGGTCCGGTTTCCCTCTTTATCCGAGCACTTGGCCGTTCGCGACCGACCGCGTCGGGTCAGTTAAACAAATGCGCCCTCCCCCCTACCGCAGACAAATAATATCCCAGACGACTTCCGGGCAGTCGATTATTTTTATTGACATTGGTCGCGCACTCCAGCGTCGAAAACGCAGATGCATCCGCGGGGAATACCTCGTCATCTTCGTCGTCATCGAGTCGCCGGCTTTCTTCGTGATTATTTGAGCGTCCCGAAAGCATCCCTCGAGACAAGGCGCGCGCGCCCGCGAATTATTACGCTGTATCATGTTAAACGCCACTCGATCAGGACTCAAGGTTCAAAGGTTCAAGCGTTCAACTCGCGTGCGAGGAGATAACTATAGCCGTTCTGCAACTGCAGGATTATGTTTTTCACCTCAATTCGACGTCCCTTCCCGAAATTAAAGTTCGTGAATTTTGGAATCGGTTCAATTTCCTTCGCGTTTGAACGCGCGATCCCTGAATCAATCGAATCACGAAGGAAGAGTGTGGCCAAATGGCTATTTGACACGTTCCCCTAATCTAGTTAGGGAAATAAGGGGTTGAAATAGGTATCAAACGATAGCTCTCGTTAAGCTGAAAATAAATATATAAGTTTTATTTTATATCGATTTTCCGTCCCAAAGTTATAGGATTCCAAAGGTTCTAAATGTGAAACAGCTTTTAATTTTAAAAAATATGAAAATGTTGGAGTTTTACGGCGTATAAGGACTCATTTAAAAGTTTATGACTTCTACTTTCCAGTGGATAAACAATCGCATCAAAATATCAACAAAAAAACCGGAAATCCAAGTGTCTCAATTGGACTTTTTGTATTTTCGGTTGGTTTTTGGCAATGAAAGTATCACTAATCACTTTGATTGTCTCCTTCCCTAGGGACTTCTTACTCTAACTGTATTGGAGGAATATCTTGGCTGCACTCTTTGCGTCATTATCGAATCGCTCGTGTAATTTAATTTGTTCGTGCCGCAGCGACGAGAAGCAAAACGTCAACGCGCACTAACGAGCCGCGCGCTCCGATCGGAGGAGACCGACGCTAATAATCGTACACGCGCGTGCGACGGTCGTCGTCTCGGAACAAACACATGGTCGACGGGAACTCGAAGAGCGTTTCATCGGCGTGCTAAGTGGTCGTCGATATAGTCACGGGTCTACGTGAAAAAAGAAACTCGGTGTACCTGATTTTCTGTTGTCTGAGAACTAAATGAAAACTCGACAATGTAATCCCATGTAGGGACACAAGGATCTTTATGTTTCTAAATATGATGATAAAGATGGAGGTTTGTAAATCTCCATTACGTCAAGAGAAGAAACCTTTAAGAAATGTTACATATTTATTTGTTGGGTATTAATAACATATTTGCTTATATTAATATAAAATATATTTTTCTTAAATAAGGAAACATATATCTTAAAACACTAAGGAAATCTTATAGCTCATGTAGAAACACAAGGATCTTTATGTTTCTAAATATGATGATAAACATGGAGATTTGTAAATCTCCATTACGTCGAGAGAAGAAATCTTTAAGAAATGGTACATATTTATTCGCTGGATACTAATAACATGTTTGCTTATATTAAAATATATTTTTCGTGAAATAAGGAAATATACATCTTCTTAAAACATTAAGGAAATCTTATAGCTCATGTAGAAATATAAGGATTTTTATGTTTCTAAATATGATGGAAACATGGAGATTTGTAAATCTTTATTACGTCAAAAGAAATTTTTAGGAAACGGTACATATTTATTTATTAGATACTAATAACATATTTGCTATTAATATAAAACATATCTTTATAATATAAATAAATAAATAAATTATAAATAAATATAAATAGATATACATCTTGAGAGGGGAAACCGTAACTCCTGAAAGCAATTTTATTTATACCATCTCTATACGAAAGAATTTAGACTCGGGTAAATATGTTATTAGTGTATCCATCAAATAAATACTTGCTATCTTTTCAGACATTTTTTTTCTCAGTGTACACTGAGGATAAGACACTTGGAAATTTATTTGTATGATACAAAATTTATTTCCGTGATATAAAATATATTTCTGAGAAATAAATTTTTATTTCTGTGAAATAAATTTTTATCCTACAAATAAATTTTCAAGTATTTTTTCTCAGTGAAGGTTTCTATTCAGTCAACTGTTTTCAGTTCTCAACCGAATCTTGACGCAACTGAATGTTCGGACGAATGTTTTCACGATAACAAAAGGAATGTTCTTTGTAGCTGAACTAGTGATGCTTTGTTCCTTTTCCTTTCAGATTATACAGGATGAATCACGTAACATTACACCATAAAATATCTCTGTTGCTTTTTGCATCAAAGAAAATGCTGTAAGGACTAAATTGTGTGGCTGAAAGACTT